GTGGTATAACTGGGTCAAATGGTAGGTTCATTTGTAGTTTTCTAAGAGTTCTCCACACTGCCTTCCATAGGGGCTGAACCAGTTTGCAACCCCTCCAGCAGTGGATGAGTGTTCCCCTTTCCCCACATCCTCTCCAACACTTGGTATCATTTGTTCTTTTTATCTTAGCCAGTCTTACTGGGGTAAGATGTGTAGGAGAGGAAGTGCCAGGCCTAAGCACAGGCTGCACTAGGGAGCACAGCTTCCGCTTTGAGAGTGCAGCCTGCGCTTCCCCAAAATAGCCAACCTACAATCTGCCTGGATGAGGGGATCTATCAGGAAATGACACACCAACTTATGGGACACTGGGGGCAGGGGGAGAGAAATATAAGGCTTGCCCTTCCCAGTAATAAACTAGTCTGCAGCACCTCACCTAGTACCTGCTCTCACCCGACTCCCGGAGTCTCTGTGTTGATTCTGCACCACTCACCCCCACCTCGATCAGAACCCTCGTTCCCTGCAGTCCCTCATGGGCTGGACCCGCGAGGAAACCTGCAACAGCTGGTGACTGAACAATGTTCCGGGCCCCCCGGTGTTGACAACGCCCCGAACTTCACAATGAACTTCGGTGAGTAGGCCCCAGGTTTTGTCAGTCTGTTCGGCTGCTCGAGGGTGAGTGGCCCCCTCCTCTGTCCCCTCTACCCTGTTTGTCATATTTGTTGTTAAATCAGGAAGGCACTCTCCGCCGTGTGGTCCTGAAGCCCACATTGGCACCTTTCCCTTCTTGGCTCGTTCTGGTGAATTCACATAAGAGCTGATCCACCTCGAACTCAGAGCCGAGGCTTCGGGTCATCCTGTTGCCTGTCCTGGAGACACCGTGTGAGCATACAGCCGAAGGGGTCACGGCCTTCAGAAGTCCCTCACTAAGCACAAGACATTTGGATCCGATACACCTTTTCATGTCAGGGTGGTTTACCTCCGAGTGGATCATGGTCCTTGTTTGCTCATTTGTGCCCTGTTGGTAGTCACCCTTGCCTTTTACTTTTGTGGCGAGTTTCCTTTCACAGCACCTTCCCACAATGGGCAACTTACCACCACAGTGCAAAGACCCACAAATGGCAGCACTCAGATCACTCCTTAGAACTTGGGGACTGAAAGTTAAACCAAAAAATATTGAAAATTTCTGGGATGAAGCCACTAACTTGGCCCCTTGTGTCTCTCCCGAGAATATGTGGGATCCTGACCTCTGGATGCAGGTCCTTTTCTTGACCTGAAAAAGGGAAGTAGGATTGGGATTTGTTCCCCCTGCCTTGTTTGTTCTGATCATTTTAGCCATCATTGCCAGCCTTAAGTCCTCCTCACCTGAGGAAGTCATTTCAGCCCATAATAAGCATTGTCAGGATCAGGCCAGTGTAGACCTTGCCATTACTTCAACCCCTGCTGACCTTGATATGGGAACCAGCCCTGAAGTTGATCCAGATGAGGAAGGGGCCCCCTTGCCTCTACCTCAGACCTTGCTTTCAAAGCCACAACAATTGGAGACACAACCACCCCAGTACCCCTGGAAGGAACTATGTTCCACGTGCTCCAACGCACCTCCTGCTCCTTACACCATCCCCATGGCCCGCCCGCCCCTTGCTGCCCCTTGCTGGCCATTGTCCGCCTTTCCAGTTAATGTCAGCCCAAACGCGCAACAGTCATAGGTGCCCACCCCCTCACAGACCTTGCACTCATCTGCAAAGCCGCCAACGAATCAGGCCCTGACTCCCCATATTTTGAGCAAGTCCTCCACCAATGGGCCATGCAGTTACAGACCCATTACTATTGGTATAACTTATTAAAGGCAGTTTTGGAGCCCTCAGTCTTCCTGAGCTGGCATTCAGCTTATGACAATCAAGCTGAAAATCAAGCACGTCTCAACCTTCAATATGGCCTTAATATTACTCTGGATATGCTCACAGGACATGGACAATAATTGACCCCATTTCCCAGTCCACTATTGGCCTTCATGCTAACTACCAACAAGTTAGTGACCTGGCCTTCAAGACCCTTAAATGGTTCTCCCCCCATGACCCACAGGCATTCTTCAGCAATTTGATTCAGCAGCCAGGGGAGTCCTTCACAGACTTCCTCACCTGTGTAACCGGGGCAGTGGAATGGAGGGTGGGAGTCTGGACCCACCTGTAATATGCTTATCAAACAACTGGCATGGGAGGGCCTAAATACTCCTACCCACAATGCTATTGCACCTGTCCGCAATGATGATATTCATAAGTGGGTACTTGCCACTAGGGACCTAGACCCTAGGACAGGGCCCATTGAGGCCCTGACCACCTCCTTAGAGGTGCTTTTATTACAGGGAAGGCCCAACCCCTCCAATTCCAAAGATGGCTGGAGGACAGGACACCTCCACAGGGACTGCCCGAACAACAGAGCTCATCCCAAGACCTGCTGCCCCAAATGCAAAAAGGGATTTCATTGGGCAAAAGATTGTAAGTCACGGCCCCAATCAGACTCGGTTCCTTTAATCTCCACCCGGGGCGCCCCTCAGCCCTGCAAGTAAGAGGGGGAATGAGACAGGTTTTATGCACCCTTCCAATTCTTAATCACTCCCCCCTAATGACCTTATTCCTGGATGGGATTGCTGTGAAGGGCCTAGTGGATAGTGGACCCGGGAGCCAATGTTACCATCATCACCAAGAGCGAGTCTCTTTGGTTCCCCCATTGGAAATATCGGCCTGGCCCGCCCATTAAGGGAGTGAGGGGCAGCCAGGACACAAAGCTGGTTGTCCACCCAGTACACTGGAAGGACTTAAACAGGAGTAAGGGCACATTTACTCCCATAGTGGCCGATGTCCCCTGCAGCTTGTGGGGTTGAGATGACCTGGAGAACATGGGTGTGGTCCTTACCACACATGATCAGGCCTTTTATGATGATGTCATAGCCCATGATAAACTTGGCCTCTTTGGGAGAAATCAGAGCCCTGACCAGCACCCCCAATTCTAAGGGCCACTGCCCTCCCTGGGACATCCCCTAAGGAGTCTCCCACACCGATTGTGCTTATGTGGCTCTTGACAGATGCGATCTGGGTGGAGCAGTGGCCTATTATCGAACCTAAGTTATCCTCAGAAATTTGGTCCAGGAACAGCTAGACCTCAGACATTTGGAACCATCTGCTAGTAAATATAATACCCCAATATTCGTTATTAGAAAAATGGCCATTTTAGATTGCTTAAGGACTTATGCGCCATTAATGACCAAATGGAAAAAATGGGCTCGACACAGGTTGGCTTGTCCCACCCTGGTGCTATTCCTCCTTCTTATTATAACACTTGATATTAAAGATTGCTTCTTCTCAATCCCGCTGACTCCCCAAGATCATGATCACTTTGCCTTTATGGTTTAGGAACTGAACTTCCACAAGCCAGCCCTCAGATATCAATGGAAAGTCCTCGCCCAGGGAATGAAAAACAGTCCTACTATTTGTCAGCTCTTTGTCTCACAAGCCACTTCAACCATCCCTCATAGTGTACAATTTATTCACTATATGTATGACATTCATTGTCCCACCCTAACCCACAATTCCTCCGCAAGGTAACCAGGGACTTACTCTCCTGCCTATCGTCCCTTGGCTTGTCTATCGCCTTAGATAAGCTACAGGAGGTGCCTCCTTATGCCTTTTGGGGGCATACCATTTCAGCCAGCGTATGTCCTATGGCCCCTGCCTTTAATTCAAAGCTGGTCTATACACTAGCTGATTCTCAGCAACTCTGTGGCACCATAAATTGGCTTAAACCATTCTTGCCCATTCCCTTGGAGGAATTGAGGGCACTGTTTCATCTTTTGGAGGGCCCCACCTGCCCTTCAGCAAAGATTAACTTAACTCCCCCAGCCATTGCCTTATTGCAAAAGATCATTGAGTTACTCTTGTCAACAACCCTTGACAGGTATGAGCCCTTACAATCCCTACAGACTTTAGTGCTATTGACTTCTTCTGGCTTCCTTGGTGCCCTTTGGCAGACTGGGCCACTTATCTGGGTCCATCTCTCATACTCTGAGCTCCAGCAGGTTTCCTCCAATTTTGATCTGGCCTTTAACTTGGCAGTCAAACTGCATACTCAAGCTCGAAAAACCTTCAACAGAGAACCCGACGCTATTGTGCTCCCCTTTCCCCTCCATAACCTACAGGCCCCCTGGGCTGATTCCATAAGTTTTCAGACTATGATGTCAGGCTTCCCAGGCACCATTGACAATCACCTACCCCAAGAAAAAAGAATTGAGGCCCTTCTCACATTGCCATTTGAGGTTAAGCCGTACAGTACTCCTTTCTCTTCCCCAATTCCCCAAGTGACCATTGCCTTTTTGGACACTAATAAGAAAAATTTTGGGGTCCTGATATATCGTCCTGGAAAAAAGGACATCACCCACATCATCCCTAATCCTGGCTCTGTCCAGTTGGCAGAACTTCCTGCTATACTTAAAGATTTAGCAGAAACTGGTCTATACACTAGCCAATTTTCAACAACTCTGTGGCACCATAAATTGGCTTAAACTGTTCTTGCCCATTCCCTCAGAGGAACTGAGGGCACTGTTTTGTCTTTTGGAGGGCCCCACCTGCCCTTCAGCAAAGATTAACTTAACTCCCCCAGCCATTGCCTTATTGCAAAAGATCATTGAGTTACTCTTGTCAACAACCCTTGACAGGTATGAGCCCTTACAATCCCTACAGACTTTAGTGCTATTGACTTCTTCTGGCTTCCTTGGTGCCCTTTGGCAGACTGGGCCACTTATCTGGGTCGTTTCCTCCAAGTTTGATCTGGCCTTTAACTTGGCAGTTGAACTGCGCATTCAAGCTCAAAGAACCTTCAACAGAGAACCCGATACTATCGTGCTCCCCTTTCCCCTCCATAGCCTACAGGCACTCTGGGCCAATTCCATAAGTTTTCAGATCATGCTGTCAGGCTTCCCTGGCACCACTGACAATCACCTGCCCCAAGACAAAAGAATTCAGGCCCTTCTCACATTGCTGCTTGAAGTTAAGCCCCACAGCACTCCTTCTTCTCCAATTCCCCAAGCGACTGTTGGGAGCTATTACTATTATGGGCACAACCATTGCTACATTAGGCTGTGGCAGCTTGCCTTAAGCATTGGAGAAAGAATGCTTCCACCCTGGGAGTTTTCCTGCTCTCTGCTTCTGTGGTCTGAGTTGATAGGCTATGCTTCCCTGATTAATTGGCAGTCTTGGAAACATAACTAAAGAGTTCT